CGAATGAATACAGGCAAAGAAATCCTTAAAGATAGAAAGCACAATCTGCAGGTGCTTCCAGAGTGCAAGAATCTCCTGACACAGTGTCCCCAGAGAATACGAGCACTGTGAACACATTTGGATGTGTCTTCCCCGCCACCCCATGCCCAGGCAACGGCAACACTGTGTCAGGAGATTCTTGCACTCCAAGCACCTGCAGATTGTGCTTTCTATCTTTAAGGATTTCTTTGCCTGTATTCATTCGCTTCTGTGCTTCTTTGTCAGTCACCCTCTCGATCCAATATATATATTTGGCTAGAGACTCAGAGTTGCTTGGAAGCTCAGCCTTGTTCTTTAATAATCACAGAGTCCATAGAATAGTGAAGTTGGAAGGGGCCTCGGAGACCATCAAGTCCAACCCCTTGCTCGAGGTAGAAATACAAATCAAAGGAGATATGCCAGGTGGCTGTCTTAAGTTTCTCTGGAATGCCTCCAGTGTTGGAGCACTCAGCAACACTAATACAGTAATTGCATTCTGTCAAGTTGATTTCGACTTTCAGTGACCCTTTCCAGGGCCTGCTAGACAGGGAACACTCAGCAGGGCTTTGTTATTCCCTCCTTCATGGGTGTGTGTGTGTGTGTGTGTGAGGGTGCCTTGGGACTACTTTGCCGCTTGCCCAAGGCCACCCAGGCTGGCTCTTCTCCCAGGAGGCCCCGTGGGGGAATCGAACTCCCAACCTCTGGCTCTCCTGCCAGAGACCTAAGCGGCTGAGCTATCCAGCCAACTTCTTTCATGCCAGTCAAATGCCCGTCCTCCTCCACTCCATCAGCTCCTGTTTGGCACCCGGTAGAATTCAGAATTCTCGACTACACAAGCGCACAAACAGAAACCCCTGTGTGACTTGGCATGCCTGTCGTTTGCCTGCCCCAGGAATAGACAGGCAGCGATGTGTTCACAGTGGAGGAGGTGGGACTTGGCCAGGGTGAACCTTGGCAGGGAAACTGGGCCATCTCTTTTTCCCTCTCCGTGCCAAGGCTGAAGGCCATCTCGCTGCAGCGCTGTGCTGCGACAGTGCCAACTTTAGCGCTATAACGCCTGTTTTGCCATCGCTGCAGCGATCACTCTGCAGACTGCCGATGGGGTTCCCAAACATACACTGGTCGGAAGCCAGTTCTTGCCAGTCGGATAAACGCAGAGAACAAAAGACCACTGTTATTATTCTCTCTCCCCCCACCCTGAAAAAGAGGGCTCAGCATTGCAATGTTACAACCCAGGGCATGCAAAAAAAGGGGGGGTGGAGGGTCGGGGTCCAGGATGGCATTAGCGGCTGAAAGCCGAGGGGGGCCCTCGGGCAACGCTATTGTGCACAGATCTGCCTGGGTGTTTGTATTCTTTGTCATGAAAGATGTTTACTCCATTCATCACTTTGCTGATCACGCCAAAGTGTCTTTTGTGTGTGTGTGTGCATGTGTGGGGGGAAAAAAGGAAGAAGGAAAAAAAACAGTCCCTATTCATTTTTTTAAAAAAAAACTTGTTTTAAAAATGCAGAAATAAATGTCCACCGCTGACTATGTGTTTCGCCCGCAATTTCAGGACACATATAGAATCTTTCTTTCTTGTTCTTTCTTTCTTGAATGTCTCTCCTTTTTCAGGTGGCCTTTAGCATTTCTCATTCATTAAACACACTGTTCCTTTTTCTTTTTAACTAACTCACAACTTCATCCAAGTTTTGCAACACACGGAGCTTTGGCGCACAAGAGCATCTAAGCAGGAGTTTGGGGGCAAATGCTGAGTAGCCATTTCTCCCCCCCCCTTTCTTGTTCTCCTTTATTGAATTTTTTAAAAGAGAGTTTCAAATCAGTTTTGATTGTGTTTTTAGGCATCCACAGAAGAACATCAAACAGGGGAGCCACGGATCCCCACTTTTTCTACGTTTGCCCAGACCTTATCTAATTGCTTATCTAGTTATCCTGATCTAGTTACTGAAGCAGCAAAACTTTGTTTTCTTTCTTTTAAACAGCAGGAAAATAGCTCTTAGCATGTCCTAATATGGTTGCATAAGGAGAATTCCTGACGCAGCTTCTTCTTGACACACATACGCAGACCTTGAGCGGGTTTTTTAGGAACCGAATCCAAAGCAGCAGCACCATATAAACTGTGCTGAATCCATTTTTTGAACCTGGACCCACAGCCCACTGTGACTTGCAAGATCTCTGGGGCAGAGACTTACCTTTTTCTGTGTCTCCTCCTAGATGCTGGCAGGACTAGTTTATATAAATATTGATGACAGGCCATTTATCTCTCTCATATCTTGCTTTTCTATCCATGTGTGCCTTGAAAATCATGTATATTTAGACAATAATTAAACAGCCTTTGTGAGTACATTATACAATAATTCATTAATTTTAACATCTGTATGCCAACTTCCCCTCCCCGAAGGTGTTCAAAATACATCATCACCACACCACCTTAGAACTGCATTTCCTTTAAAAATTCGGTTCTCAAACCGAAGAAGGGGACATGAAGTAATTCATAGGCAGTCAGGGGATTCTGTTGTAGTTTTAAACCAGCATAAATGTCAAGGTGTAATTGATTATAGCAAATTACTGCCAATTAATGAATTTCCACTCATGTTCCTAGTCTGTGTGATCTCCATAAAGATATTTTTCAATCAATGTGAACACATTTCAATGGTAGTTGTTATTACTATAATTTAGGAAGACTCTGCTTGGATTTTTTTTATGTTGAAACTTTAGGTTCTTGTTTTGTTGGTCCCCCTATGTGGAGAAAGACAGCATATGAAGAACGTAAAGATTTTTAAAATTTATTTTAATAAGAAACCGATTTTCTTTCAAAGGAGGGGGGGAGTTGGATGATGGCAAAAGGAAGCTGGGGAGGCATGAGGGAGGTTTCTGAAAAACCAGACAGCCAAAAAAAAAAAAAACCCACACGTTTGGGAACCATTGCTTTAAAAGCATTGCAGGTGAGGAACAAAATAAAATTTTAATTTAAGGTCTCCGTCTTGGCATCTCCTTCCAGCTACAGGGTTTAAACGCTATTTATGGTCTGATTCTTTTTTCCCTTCCTATTACGGATCCCTTTCTCTCCACTTTCTCCTCACAACACCTATGACCTGGGAAAGGGACTACATCAACCAGCATCCACCACTGTGCCCCAAGGGTTTATTTCAATAGGGGAGCCAAGACTGCCACTCTGTTGCCTATTCTACGAATACAATCCCTCTTATTCTTAGTTGTAATGTTTATTTTTCTTTCTTTATTCTTGCCATCTTTCTGTTCTTATATATGACAACGTGGAAACTGTCCAGAGAAGCGGTTGCCACTTAAATGGGCAGTATAAAAATCTAATAAAGAAATGATAGATAGATTAGATAGATAGATTAGATAGATAGATAGATAGATAGATAGATAGATAGATAGATAGATAGATAGATAGATAGATAGATAGATAGATAGATAGATAGATAGATAGATAGATAGATAGATAGATAGATAGATTGATTGATTGATTGATTGATTGATTGATTGATTATAACGTCTGCATGAGTTCCACGGGAGTACCTCTACCTAGAATTGCTGGAGATCAGAATTGACTACCGTTTTGCAATCCAAAACAGGAACGTTTCTCAGGATTGCATCAGGGAGCCCCTAAATTGCCCCATTTAAAAAAGGAGGGGGGAAAATGGAAACGAGGATATTGTTACGAATTTCCTAAATTTTTTGGAGGGGGAAACAAGAAACGCACAGCCCGAATGAAACTGTGAACAACGTCCTTGAAAAAGCGGGTTTTAGACGCTAAAGATTTGGAAACGGTTTATTTTCTCCCGTTCCTGAGCAAACCCTTCCTGGCTCCGATTTGATCTAGCGCTGCTTTGAATGCATGGATTTAAAAGGGGGGGGGGGACAGGGGCCCCGATTCCCGGCACGCACCCGCACACCCCAAATACCGCCGCTTTTAACAAAACAAGGAGATCCGAGCCGAATAACGGAATGCCAGCCAAAAGTGGCTCTCCGCAACCTTTGCTCCTGCTTGCCACAGCAAGCTCGCCAGAATACATATATATATATACTGTACTGTATATTTCATACTCTCCAGTTCTTATGATTCACAATTAAATCAAATCAAAGCAACTTTTCCAACCTTCCCAGCAATTAGTTGCTAAAGTTTCCCCCTAAAGTTTAGCGAGGGAAAACTTGATTTCAAATTAAATTAGAGTATATCCACGTTGATCGCCTTCCCTGGATCGTTTGTAAATGATGGGAAATGCTTACGTCGGAGGGGCCCATGCCTGGGAT